CATTCAAATATTTTTCGTATAAGAAAAAACAATCTGTAGAATTGTGTGGTTTGTTCCATGCGCAAATCCAGATCGAGGGGATCGATGGTGTGTGTGTGGAGGGGGGGGGGGGGTCCGCCCCCCCCCCTTCGATAAAATTTCTGGATCCGCGAATGCGTTCATTTACTTATATTTCGAAAGAAATATAACATGTAGTGATTTTCTAAATTGTATATTCTAAACAGGTTCGGGTTTCCGTTAATTGGTGTAAGATCAGTCCAGGACAGAGATAAGAAATAAAAAAGATATTCCTATCCATGTTTGTTTTCTTCTTGACCGTGTCAATAAGTAAACTAGGGAATGTTTAATGATTCCGCTTAAAGTTGAGATCGAATTCCTCTGTTTCCAGTTTCTTCTTTTAGTATTTCATGTACAGAAACTTAATCATACAGTAAAAGAATTTTGTAACTTAGACTGTTATAAAATTCTGGGTGTATTTGAAAGCGTGTATTGCAGATCCTACGTTATTTTCCCTAAAAATGTTGCAGATAATACGAAAATTTTCAAGAAATTAAAAACAATGTTGTCAGATGCAAACAGTATACTAGTATACTGCTCAAAGTTGAATTATAATTAGAAGCTTCATATCAATTTCTAATTATGATTACATGAAATGTAATTTAATTATATGTAATCTAGTCACACAGAAAAAATGACAAATTTTGAACTTTTCAAGGAGGGAATCCCCATGTCGACCATATTAACGCACTCTGAAATAAAAAAAAATGTGCACGGCTTGGTCAATATTCTTGCAAATTTTAGGTATGATAAATAATTATTTGAACCTGGTTGGATAACTTTTCAGTGATGACGTCAGGATCTGTTATATAGACGTTTTAAAGATTTTTAGGAGTTGTCTTGTATCCAAAGGTTCTCGTAACTGTAATAAAAGGGAAATGGGTCTTAGAAATAATGGAGGAATGATTGTTTAAGAGCACAGTTTCGTTTCTTTTTTTTTCTTTTCTTTTTTTTTTAAATTCTATCCAGTCTCTAATAAGTTCGGTAGATGTAGGTGTCGGTAAGTGACTTAAAGCATCGCATTTTTCTCAGGGAAAAGGGAGCAATTGTGATTTTTCCATACCATGAAAATTCTCTCTCTCTCTCTCATCTATTTTTCTATCATAATCATCTATCTATCTATTGTGAACATATATGAAACAATGGTTGACTCATTTATTTGATAGTAAGAAAATAAACATTAGCCACACTACTCACTCGACTGAAATTTTTACCTCCTTCACTAAAACCTTTTTCTTTAAAAAGTTATGCAGTCAGATTACTTCTAAATCTGTAATTTGATATTATAAAAACGCTAGACATGTCAATAACATGTTTTAATTACCATGTAAATGCATTTTTTCCGAGGAATCATTGTGGATACATTTTGAATAAAGGTTATGCGGCTCTCTTCTTTAATATATTAGGGTGCGTAATTTTTTTTTCAGGAAAGTTTATCTCAATTTTTTCATCTATTTTACGTTAACTCAAATTTATTGAGAGAAATAATATCAATGTCATACCAGTCATGTAAATACATATATTTGTGTAGGAAAGATAGAGAGTTGGGCTGAGGGACCTTCTACTTGTCTTCTCCTCGTTCTCAATGAGGGTAGTTCAATTCATCAGATTTTCGGAAGAAATATAACAAATTAATGCTGTCTATTATTAAAATCTAAGTCCAGAATTTTTGTTTTAAACGTATTTTTTCAAAGTGCGTTAAGTGTCTCCATGGTAAAAAATGTTGATGTACACTCTTAGCGCACTTTGAAAAAAATTTCAAAGTGCGTTGAATTTGTCTAAAATTTAACGCACTTTGATTTTTTTTTTTTCAAAGTGCGTTGATCTTATCCCAATTTTAATGCACTTTGCAAGATTTTTTCAAAGTGCGTTGTCACACTGCTGATATTCTTGTTTCATCAACTTGTTTGTCAATAATTTACCTCGTTTAAGAAATTTTCCATACGTAGAGCATGCTCTTGCGTATCGAATCAGCTGAGAGATATAAACCCCGTATGCAGGTGATTATGGTATATTGCTCCAATTAAGTAAGGGAAGTTGACGACTGAAAAGTTAAAGTCATCACGTTCATCATAAAGCTTGGTTGTTAGATTACCATTAACGTCTTTTTCTAGTAAAATATACAAAAATGAAACAGATGTGTCAGATTCCGTGGTATCTTTTATTTCATGCTCACCGGGATAAATCGTATCGACATAAGAATGGAAATAAGACTGGAGGACAGACTGCATCATATATTTCGGATATACAGAGATTTTTTGAAAGATCTAAAATTTGTGGTTGACATAATTTTTTTCTAAACATAAATATATTTGGAGTTTTACCAAATGCCCTTAATTCCTAATACTACTCAAATGTTTTACATTCTGAAATGAAATGGAATTTGACCTAGCTGAGTTACATTGCGTACGTATATAGTCTTTCATTCAATAGAATAATTGACAATCTACCACCAACTGAAATTAAGGTGTCGATTTGAAATTCTAAATTTTATTAGTATTTCTCGTAGTTTACTTGAGAAAATACTCAAATATTTTCACGTATCAATATCGCTTAAAAATTTTGTAGATTTGATCACTTAAAAATTTTATAGGTTTGACCTTTTGCTGAGTTATTTATATCACTGCCGCCATTTATTGGATAAATTGGTAGAAGTGCCGAGTATACATGTAGGTATAAATTTGCAGCCCTCCACCAGCAAGTGGTGGCGTCTCTATATGATTGAAACATTCTCGAGGGGGACGTTAAACAACGAAGAATCAAACTAAATTCAAGCCACATATTTCCAGTTTTTTGAAAGTTATTTAAAGCAGAACAATTAGTGGTAGGAAACTGTCAAAATAAATAAAAACTGGAATGATGAAATAAATGAGATAAAGAAAAAGCAAAGGAAAATCATGACATGGCAACAAATGATCATGATGTTCATCATCATCATCAGCAAATAGCAGTTGATACTTGTTTACAACCTGTGGATGTTTCTCACGAGGTTTTGGACCACTATTTCGATGATAATTACAACACTGCATCCGGAGGGGAAAAATCCAGTGCGAATGTGGCAGGAACCAGGAAATGAAGCTAAAGCATTTCTCTGCCATATCCCTAGTGGACAATGACTTGGAATAAGGAAAGAGGAAAGTGAAACGAGAATAACACTGTAAAGATATAATAAAAACAGAGTTATGAATGTAGATGTTAGATTTGCAAAAGATAACAAATAATTTTTTTAGTCAATCCATGTCAGAGTTGAATCAAGTTATAGAGAAAACACATATTTTCAGTTCGATAATCGTTTCAAAAATAGGAAATAAAAAGTTAGTTACTTCAAACATAGTGCAAGATCCAAAACTTCTCTCAATGTATTGATATATGAGCTGTTGTTTTTTTCAAGAATCTTATTTTGCTGTTAAATGTGCTATTATGATGATTTTGCATGTTATATGTACTTGTACATCATTAAGACAAAATATTACTATCAAACTTTATTTAAAAAAAAAAATATACAATGGATCAAATATGTAGCAATTTGTCATCCTCACAACGTCAGGGGTCCTGTGTCAACTCGTTGCCGTTCGACCTCTGACTAATTTCATTTGATATCTTGCGGGCTGATGCAGAGACGTCCTTCGGGAAAATTTAAAATCTTGATTGTTTTTCTAATCTCTCAACCAAGCACAGTAAGCTTTACGGTGATAAACAATGCGTAACAGGTGCATTTTAGGTGTCAACTGACTCCTTTCTGTTGACATTATCTGTCTACTTCAATTTGATTGGTGTTTTTCAATGAGAGAAGCAAGCCCAAAGGTATCAAATGAAATTTGTCAGGGGTTCAACGGCAAAGTTGACACAGGACCCCTGACGTTGTGAGGATGGCAATTTGTAAAAAATCTGTTTCTGTACAGGATAACAATGATATTTTTCCATCATGAAATCAGAGCCTCATATAAGTTTTCCCAAAGAGAAACCCGACGAGAGAAATTAACAATCCTTCATTTTTTTTTTTTTTGTAAATTAAATAGTATAAATTACCCTTTTACAAGAAAAATTCGGACATAAAATTTTCAGCTTATATTAATCTGAAATGAAACATCAGAGTGTGCATAACTGACTGTTTTTGGAAGTCTCTCTCAAGTCTCACTCTCAACACTTTTTGTTTCAAAATTTAGAAATAACTTAAAAAGGACTATAACAGCTAGAGGAAGAAAAACAAAACAAAACACGGAGAAAGTGGTGTATTATACAATAGTCGTAAATTTGTATGATAGATTCTATATCGGGAATCCCCTTGTCCGGCAGTCGGCTGATATAAAGCTTTATTCAATAGCTGATTATCCTCATAAACTCTGCAAAAAAAAAAAAAAAAAAAAAAAAAAAAAAGGTAGCGAACTTCCAGCTACGACCATCAGTCAAACTTTATTTCACTGTGCTGTTTCAACTTCAGTTTTTGTTATAAAAACGGAGTTTTCATTTATTCATTATTCAGAAATACATGCATGCATCTTTATAATTATACTGAATTGGGGATAGTACAAATATACAATAGAGATAAGTATACAAGGGAGGTAAAAAAAAAAACCCAGACATGAATGTACATAAAAAAATAATGATTGGAAAAAAATCAAGAATTAAAATCGCTTGTTTATTTGAAGATTAAGAATTACGTTTGAATAACTTGATTTTGAGTTTCCTTATCCAATTAACAGCGAAAAAAAGATGTTCTAGAAATGTCATCCAAACATTGCCTACAAATGTTGTCGATAATGCTTGAAGGCGGAGGAGACAAATGTAAAATAACATAAATATATCCATGTTTATGCATACTAGTATATAAAGTCAAACATATGAAATCTGAATGAAGGACCTGTGTGATTTGACTTCATTAATGCAAACTCACACTGACTAAATTTGTGACAACTTTCGAGTTAATATTGACGAACGGAATAATGTCTGATGAACTAAATCATCTTTTAGAAAACGTTCTCTTGGATACTGGAGGATTGGGATGCTTCCAGTTTATCATTATTGCTGTTATTAATCTTGTTAAATTTCCGATCACGTGGTCTGTGCTGATGATGACGTTTGGGGGCGCCACTCCTGATTGGTGGTGTGACGACTATAGAAACTCTTCAATGTTAGAGGAAGATAAAGATGCTGGTAACGAGTCTGTCACTTCGTTCTTATTCAAAAAGTGCAGTGTGAACGGTTCTGACGCGTGTAGGGATGTGCATTTTGATTCCGATATGAACACGATTATTAGCGAGGTAATGTGAAATTTGCTTGAAATGAATTTTATATAAAGCTTCTTAATACTTGTACTTTCATCTTACTTTGCTATTGGCGAAGATGAACATTAAATTTGAAGTTTCTTACCGTCAGATCCATAGAACACTGGGGGGGGGCCCCCTTTTTCTGAGTTTTAATATTTTGCTATAGTAAATTTTCCTATAGATGCTGCCCCCCCCCCCCCACTTTTTGATGTTGTAAGGTCGAGCACTGATAAATTCCAGGATGTGGACAGTAAATTAGTTTTTTTTTTTGTTTTGCTTGTCAGATTTTTTTGGGAAGTTGTCCCCCTCCCCACTTTTGAAACCATTGCTACGGGCCTGATAGTGCATATTTCAGCGTCATTAATCAAAAAACGAGTAAGTCAAAGGTCGATCTTCACCAATGGTCAGTTATTTGACAGGACACCACCCCATCCCGCGCACCCTCGGTGATTGTTGGACTTTTAATTGTAAATTATTTTGCTACAACGTAGTTACAATGTCTGAAACATATAACCGTAACTTATCATTCTGCTAAAATAATCGACTGTGAAATACCTGTACTTATAGTATGTCACTTCGTTGGTTTACATTGGTACCTCCTGGGTTATCAAGCTAACTAAAATATGTATTGTAACTTCAGGCTAATGTTGTCAGTCACATACTAGTATATATGTAATGTCTCAACAGATACTCCTGTTTCTGTAAACTGCCGTCGTACATCATAGTAATATTCTAATCGTCAAACACGCATACGGCTCAATAACCAACGATTCCAGAGGAAAAAGTAACGAAAGTATAACAACTTTTTAAGACTTAAGTTGAACTCAGCTTATTTAAATAGACCCTTCTACTCACTTTTCCTTGTTCAATTTTTGTACCAAATACATGTCATTTGGACATTTTGATTAAGGATAACTCACGGGACGTATTGAAAACTATAGTAACATTTCAGGATTTCGCAGAGAACTTTTTATTTCGTTTCTGTTGTACTTTTGGACTTAATGAGTAAGTGTTTCGTATAGCTAGGAAGTCAACTTTTTGGCAAAATGAAAAGACAGAAGCATCTATTGAGAAGTCGCGTCTACTAGAGGCTTTAAGTATATATAGCACAAACAATTTTCTTTTCTTCAAAATTCATATATCTTTGCTTAAGAGGTGACTCTCTCACATAAGAAGAGGTATCTGTTTAGTTAAACAACTTTCTGTTTGGCCAAGTCATATTATTTGATGAAAAGTGGGGAAAGATAACTTTACAGTTCAATATAATTCTTGAAAAGTTTAGAAATTTTATGTAGTTTTGGTACTGAAAGCTTCTGGGAACATTTTCAAGAATCTATTTTTACATTTTACACACTTATAATTTACTTATTAGATTACCACTGAAAGGAATATTGAAAAAATAGCAATGTAATTCGTCTGTGTAGGAGATAAGAAAATTTGCTTGTGTTATGTATTTTTAAAACGTACTACATAATAACATACATGTACCTATTTGGTTACTATCGACAGAATCAAAATTTATAAAGCATAAAAGAAAGAATAGACTAAATAAAGGTAAACATCAAATTCATAGGATGAAACCGCACCTTTCCGTCACTGAAAGGTCTGGAAAGCTGACTGAATGGCAGAGCTCTGGCATTCAGTCACCTTTCAGCAATCTTACAGTTTATAATTGAATGGAAGATTTCATCCTGTAATTACAAAACACCCTTATAGAAGTTTAAACTGTGCGACAATTAAAATGAGTTTTATTAGTTTTAAAAGAGAGAGAAAGAGAGAGAGAGAGAGATAGCATTTTTATGAAGTATGCAATCTTGTTCTGTAGTGGCGACTTATCTGCGGAGAAAGCTGGGTGCCTGGAATCGTCATAAGTATTCAGATGGCGGGGCTGTTTATAAGCGGGTACCTGTCTGGTCAGCTGTCCGACATGTTTGGAAGAAGACTGATTATCTTCATATCCATTCTTCTAAACGCGGTGGCCAATTTCGTAGCCGCCTTCTCCACTTCTTGGCAGATGTTTGCCAGCCTAAGATTCGTTATCGGCATATCTTCCGGTTTATATTTAGCCATTTATATGACGTATATCATTGAGTTCACGCCCATGAAATCCCGCCCAATGATCCAGGCTATCCCCTCCTGGTCTCTAGCTGCCGCTTTCTATGGGCTTCTGGCCTGGTTGCTCCCTGACTGGCGGTATATACAGATAGTGACGGGGGCTGTCTCGGTGCCTTTTTTCGCCTGTTGGTTGTGAGTATTCTATAATCAGCACCCCCTACAATTATACCTATCTAAGACTATTGTTGAATGTGCATAGTCAGTCACCATTTCAACTTCTGTAAAGCATCTTTGTCTTTGAATTCGATATGCTCTGAGTAATTTATAACAGTGGAATCAGCCAAAATTTGAAAATTTATGACACCAACAGATCATATGAAAAAAAGGAATAATTGTTATACCTTCTACAAAAGTATTGACTTGGCCCTCGGGCAGAATGCGTTTTGCCGAACCATCGAATCAAACTTTTGCCTTCGGCCTCAGGAAAACAGTTCGGTTCTTGTGTCTTTCTAAACACATGTTCCTCTGGAATCCAGTCAATAAATGTATATTGTTATAACTTAAAAAAAACCCTTCCATATATAAATATATACTAACGGAAGTCGAACATCTTTTGCTGAGCGACCCCTCCCCAAAAATTAAAACCATGTTGGATCACAGGTGAGATGTTGGACCGCTATTAAGGCCCTTTTTACGTCACACTTTATTTACATTCATTAAGCCTCACCTTCGGCGGGATCATCTGACACGAGTCAACAAGCTTAATCTTATTTGCATTTATTGGTGTTCCACAGTTAAAGAATTGACCGAGTTAAATATGTATTGCGGGTAAATAAATTACACATTAAATTTTTGAAATCTGCGTCATAAGCTTGGAAGCCAGCGCAAGATTTATAATGGAAATAATTTTTAAAGGCATACCAAATATTTATTAACTGTGTTCTCGAGAAACATGTGATTTGCCGAACCCTCGAACCAAGCTATTGCCTTCGGTCGGCCTCAGGCAATCAGTTTGGTTGTAGGATCCGAAAAAAGGCATGTTAACGTTGTCCTTGAATCTAGTCAATGTATGTATGATATTACATTTGGTTTTAATTCAGCATTGTTCCAGAAAGTTTTCGCTGGTTAGTCTCCCACAAAAAGATGGACGAGGCAAAGAAAGTCGTAGATAGAATCTCCAAATTAAACAAAGTATCGACTCCTAGCCTCCAGGAAGTAGAGGGCGCTCTGGAGAAGTCCAATATCATGGACCGGAAGTACACAGTGGTCGATATTTGTAAACACGGGTATCTGCTGAAAAGGGCGGTTATTGTTTCTTTTGCATGGTAAAGTTATCTTTTCTGCTGAAAATTATATTAAAACATAAAACCAAATTTAAACTAATTTTGCAGTTAATATCCCTCACCAAAAATAGTCCTAGAAAGTACATGAACTTCAAAAGCTTGTCGATGTAATTTTTGGACGATATATATGAGGACAATAACAAGAATATAATGATTTCTCTCTCTCTCTCCTTTTTGTATTTTTAACTCTCGAATTAAATTTAATTAGATTTCTCTTTCTCAATGAAAGGATGGCGATGGCCTATACATATTATGGGATTTCTTTTGGTGTTGACAAATTGTCCGGAAGTCTGTATATCAACATATTTGTTCTCAGCTTCTTGGAAATTCCTGGGGCTTTTCTTGCATGGTATTTCATGAAAAGGTAAATTAGAAATTTAATTCATTTCGCTCAAGCCATGTCAAAGTTATCAAATATCCCGATAAACAGAGCGAAAATGCATGACAAGAAATATACAAAATTAATTTACAAAATTCATTTATTTATACCAAAGTATTCCTTTTAGTCTTTAGTAAAACACGACAGTGAAGAACAAATTCCTTTTATTTGAATGCGTTTGTTTATAAAGTATTTGCATTTATTATAGGATAGGGCGGAGGTGGGCCTACATGATATTTAGTTTACTGTCAGCAGCCGGGGGCATTGCCGTGGGATTGGCGAAAAATTTTGGTATTAAAAAAACAAGATTGATTCTCAATGCAAAATACAGTAGACGCACTTTTTTCCAGCGGGTTATAATTCTACGGAATCACAATTTTATTCAATCCGGGCATGTCTTAATTACACTTTAAGTACACTCTGTCAAATTTCCACGGAAAAATCGGGACCGCGTATATACATATATAGCTTAATTAATCCAATGCGAAAAAAGGTACGTCTACAGTATTACAATTGCTCAAAAATGGTAACATCTTGTTTGTTATCTCTTGAGTGGTAGTAAAAATGATACAAAGTAAGATAAAGTATACAGGTGACTCTCGATGGCTCTATATTTCCAAGATCTATCTCTATTTTCGAAGTAATGTTAAGCGATATCTTTGGATCCCCGCTTGGGTATTAAATGGTCACAATAACCGTTCACGTCTTTTGTTGTGAATTAAATCATGATAAGCTCTGATTGTACTGTAATTAGCGTGTGGCGGATATAAATTTATCGTACAAAATATAGTGCTAAATCTCTCAACCGCTTTTAGAAATAATACAAAAACGCTAAAAATAACAACAAAAATAATGAAACGAAGATTTTTCTATACAAATAAACATCAAAAGTAATGAATTTAATTGCAGTCTTTTGTAAGACAGCTAAATTCATATGCGTAAGGTTTTTTGATGGTCAATGTTGTCATAGTCATATTGATCCGTTTGTTTTCAATTCGACGGTGCCAGGTTAACACTGACCCAGTTTAATTCAGACCATGGTATAACATCACAAAAATATTGTTTGTATGTTGTTTAACGTCCCTCTCGAGAATTTTTCACGCATATGGAGACGCCACCACTTGCCGGTGGAGAGCTGCAAATTTTGACCTATACTCGGCACTTAGGGCCATTGAGCAGTGAGGCTTCTTTTTCGTGCCAGCATCTACTGCAACACGGGACCTCGGTTTATACGGTCTCGTCTGAAGGACCGGTTTCCACGTACCACAGTGGGATTCGAACCCGTGACGTAAGGATTAACTCCTTACTCCGCGACTCTAGAGCAGACGCTCTACCACTGCGCCACGCGGGCGACTCGTCACAAAAATAAATTTGGTGTATTGTTTATATTTATATTGTTTTTTTTTTTCATAAGATTTTTTTGGGGGGGATTTTTTTTTCATGTAAAATCCACCAGAAGCCCTTATTTTTATTAGTATAATTTTTCAATTGAGCCCGGCATACAGTACTTTCAGTACTTTGATTTCAACAAGTTACTGTGAATTTGATTTTAATTATTAGCGAATTATGTGTATACACGTATAATTAATTAGCTGTGTACTTGATTAAACTAGCGGAAGATGCTTTGGAACCGTGAAATGCGCTAAAAAGAATACACAGCAATATATGTTTATGTGCAGTAAGTAACACCTCACTGATATTTAAATGGATGAAATGTTCATAACATTAAAGATAGGTAATATAAATAAACTTTTTTAAAGAAAATCATGACAATAACAACTTAACCATGTTATTATTTTAATTTTTCATTCAAGGTTTCAAAGTTATGTCCTACAAAGTGATCAAAAGTTGTTAAGATTTATGGAGGTGATGGCAAAAAGGTAGAATTTTGAATATCGTAGAAAGTTTACAATTTCTTAATATTTTAGAAATTTAATATTTGCATCGCTTACGATCAAAATGTGTCCAAAAATATATATCAATCCAGGCATAATTTTTTTTTTTTTAACATCTGTCCTTAATGTTATTGGAAGCTTTCCGATATCACTTTAGAAGAAATTTCAATTAAAAGTTAACACCTTTGAGAAACTTCACCATTGAGGCTTGTCGTCATGTCTCTACCTTGTTTTTGTTTATGAAATACTACAATAAAATCTCAGCAATATGCTACATGTACAATGTGATTAGGCCTAGTACTTAAAATAGCCATCTTTGAAAAAACACACATGCACAAAGGTCTTGTTGGCATTTTGTTTTTCAAATGACTGTATCTTTGCTCCATTCTATTGAAGAGTAAAAATGATTTTGCTATTAAAAACATGAAACAAGGACCCACTTTACATAAATATTCATTTTCTGACAAAACAATCATTTCTTCCTCAAAAAATTAATTGAAATTCAGTTATACGAAGGTCATTTCACAAAGATTAGAGAGTAATAAACGCCCATGATTTGACAAATGTGATTGGAACATTAAGTTCGGTGATGAATACTGGATTTTTATTTGTGCAACTTCAATACCCACAAAAAACCGAACTGATTGAAAATTGAAATTGATTCTTACAAAATCGAAGCCATTGGCATTTCTATGCCTGATTCCCCCATGTTCTATATATTAATATATTTCAGATAATTCAAAAAGAGAAGAAAAAAACAAACAAATGAACAAAGAAAATGGATTAAATATGATAAAAGATATTGTATAAAACATAATCCACCAAAATTAATGAAGATGTTTTCGATCCTTCGAACTCTAGAAGTCTAGAAGTTTTCAGTGGTGCTGTGAACTTCGAATTGTTGAGAGTCACCTGTTTTAATATAATAACTCCCGAGAGCATCAACAACAAAATCTTTACGACACCCTCTGAACCTCTTGTATGCTTCTTAAACTCCTGTTTGATTTGATGTTCCTGCAGATTTTAACAATAGTTGGGCTGTTATCAATGGATTCGCCTTTGTGGCTAAGCTGGGTTGTGCGGCTGGGTGGTCTTGTTTGTTTATCATCACCACAGAGTGCTACCCAACTGTACTAAGGCAAGAATTTTATACTCAAAGTTTACATAAAATTCAGGCATCTCACCGAATACTTTTGAACATAAGTTGTTGTGAGTTATTCATGTGATATTAAAGTATTATCTTGCTTTTAGAACCACTGGGTACGGATTAGCAAGCTCCTTGTGTAGGATCGGTCCTATTCTGGCTCCGTTAGCTCTCAGCACAGTTAGTATACTGATTATCGATTTGTTGTTGCATGGTATAATTATTTCAAGTTCAATTTTTTTTTGAAATATCAAGTAAAAAGTACTTAATAATGTGAATATTTATTTTTTCTCTAATTAGAGCGACACCTACAAGGGCTTCCTGTACTTCACTTGTGGAGTTGTGACGTGTATTTCCGGTTTGTCTATTTTCTGTATCCATGAGACAAAGGACCGTGCGCTAGAGGATCTGATAGGGACGGATCGAATGGAAGTGTCACTCAAAGTGACCGACAGTGGGATACAAATTACAAATGACAATACTGTTGACAAAAAATAAAACTCAAAAGTAATATTAGTGTTTAGTTACATAGGCTTATAATAATTATGTACTGTGATCAAGAAAGAATAAAGTACCTGTGTATCTTGATTGGAGCTTGTCGTGAAGAAAAATACGCAGTGGTTAGAGTGTTTGCTCTAGAGTCGCGGTGTAAAGAGTTGATCCTTACGTCACGGGTTCGAATCCCACCGCGGGACGTGGAGACCGGTCCTTCGGATGAGACCGTATAAACCGAGGTCCCGTGTCGCAGTACATTAAGGTGCTGGCACGCAAAATATCCTTCACTGCTCAATGGCCCTCAGTGCCTAGTATAGGTCTAAATTTGCAGCCCTCCACCGGCAAGCGGTGGCGTCTCAATATGAGTGAAAAATTCTCTAGAGGGACTTTAAACAATAAAGAAACAATCAATGAAGAAAAATATATCAGATTTATGACAATATGTGATGAAGTTTGGATATGACTTCATCTTGATACTCATTATTATCAATAATAATTTTTGACAAAGAATACTGAACAAGTATATCGAGGTATATCAATCCCATAATTCTTTCTTTATTATTTCTTACTTTAATTCTTCCTTTCCTGTTTTTTCCGACTTCATAATAATAGATTTATTTTTGTTTATTATTTTAATTCTAGAAAATAAGGTGCGTACCTAAAAGGAAATGACAATCTGAGTAGGCTCAAGAAAGGGATTTGTTAGATTATTCAATTAAAGAGAAAACAATTCCCGAGAGTCACACACACATATATATACCTCCTACTCAGGCATCGGTTACACTGAATCCATTTGTACTCTGAAGTCCTTCTTTATACAAATGGGGTGAAAGTCTGCTTTTAACGAGCTGGAGCATTTGAGTATTATGCTTGTACAGCAAACAAAGAAAGCATTGAAAAAACAAAATTAATGCCTGATTTGTCAATTTTGTACGGAAGCCGGTTGGTGCCAGGTAGAAAAAATATTTTATCTGGCGGCCGCCAAATAATTATCTGGCGACCGCCAGATAAATAACTGGCGGCCGCCAGAAACTTATCTGGCGGCCGCCACATAATTTCTGGCGGCCGCCAGATAAAAAGATCTGGCGGCCGCGAGATAAGTTATCTGGCGGCCGCCAGAAATTATGTGGCGGCCGCCAGATAACTTTCTGGCGGCCGCCAGATAACTTATCTCGCGGCCGCCAGAAAGTTATCTGGCGGCCGCCAGATCTTTTTATCTGGCGGCCGCCAAATATTTATCTGGCGGCCGCCGGAAAGTTATCTGGCGGCCGCCAAAAACTTATCTGGCGGCCGCCAGATAAAATATTTTTCTACCTGGCACCTACCGGCTTCCGTAATTTTGCATTTTTTAAAGATTAACTTTGTCACTCTGTCTATGTTGAACATGTTGAACTACTTATTTTAATGTATTAGATGATTTTACCTGTAACACGCTTTCTTATTTCCACAAATCACAGTTTTCCGTTGGCAATTGTTTTATATTTAGGGCCTCTAACTATAATTCTGTATCAACCAGTAACATCGATCCTACATGTATACATGAAACTTGGATGTAGAAGAAACGATTACAACCGGATATAAAGAAATTATTTTCAGAGTCCCTTAAATTCCACTGTATTTTTATGCAGTCAAACTCAAGATATGAACGATCGAGGAAGAGCTCGTGTAATTTGACTTCATTTTGACTTCAGATTTGACAACTGACCAGAGATTTCGTTTATATTTGCGAAGGTTATAATGTCTAGAGAACTCAATCATCTTTTAGAAAACGTTCTCTTGGATACTGGAGGATTAGCACGCTTCCAGTTTATCATTATTGCTGTAATTAACCTTGCTAAATTTCCATTTACGTGGTCTGTGCTGATGATGACATTTGGGGGCGCTACTCCCGACTGGTGGTGTGGGGATTTTGGAAACTCTTCAATGTTGGAGGAAGATAAGGATGCTGAAAACAAATCTGCAATTTTATTAGCTCACCTGAGCCAAAGGCTCAAGTGAGCTTTTCTGATCAAAATTTGTCCGTTGTCTGTCGTCGTTGTTGTCGTTGGCGTTGTCGTTGGCGTTGTTGTTATTGTTGTAAACTTTTCACATTTTCATCTTCTTCTCGAGAACCACTGGGCCAAATTCAACCAAACTTGCCACAAAGTATCCTTGGGTAAAGGGGATTCAAGTTTGTTCAATTGAAGGGCCACGCCCTCTTTCAAGGGGAGATAATTAGGAATTAGTGAAAAAATAATGACATCATTTAAAAATCTTCTTCTCAAGAACCACTGGGCCAGGAAAGATGAAACTTACGTGGAAACATCCTCAGGTAGTGTAGATTCAAGTTTGTTCAATTCATGACCCCCGGGGGTAGGGTGGGGCCACAATGGGGGATCAAAGTTTTACATAGAAATATATAGGAAAATATCTTTAAAAATCTTCTTCTTAAGAACAGCAAAGCCATGATTGGTCATATTTATATGGAAGCATCCTCAGGTAGTGTAGATTCAAGTTTGTTCAAATCATGACCCCCGGGGGTAGGGTGAGGCCACAATGGGGAATCAAAGTTTTACATAGAAATATATAGGAAAATATCTTTAAAAATCTTCTTCTTAAGAACAGCAAAGCCATGATTGGTCATATTTATATGAAAGCATCGTCAGGTAGTGTAGATTCAAGTTTGTTCAAATCATGACCCCCAGGGGTAGGGTGGGGCCACAATGGGGGATCAAAGTTTTACATAGAAATATATAGGAAAATATCTTTAAAAATCTTCTTCTTAAGAACAGCAAAGACATGATTGGTCATATTTATATGGAAGCATCCTCAGGTAGTGTAGATTCAAGTTTGTTCAAATCATGACCCCCAGGGGTAGGGTGGGGCCACAATGGGGGATCAAAGTTTTACATAGAAACATATAGGAAAATATCTTTAAAAATCTTCTTCTTAAGAACAGCAAAGCCAAGATTGGTCATATTTATATGGAAGCATCCTTAGGTAGTGTAGATTCAAGTTTGTTCAAATCATGACCCCCAGGGGTAGGGTGGGGCCACAATGGGGGATCAAAGTTTTACATAGAAATATATAGGAAAATATCTTTAAAAATCTTCTTCTTAAGAACAGCAAAGCCATGATTGGTCATATTAATATGGAAGCATCCTCAGGTAGTGTAGATTCAAGTTTGTTCAAATCATGACCCCCGGGGGTAGGGTGAGGCCACAATGGGGGATCAAAGTTTTACATAGATATATATAGGAAAATATCTTCAAAAATCTTCTTCTTAAGAACAGCAAAGCCGTGATTGGTCATATTTATATGAAAGCATCCTCAGGTAGTGTAGATTCAAGTTTGTTCAAATCATGACCCCTGGGGGTAGGGTGGGGCCACAATGGGTGATCAAAGTTTACAGAGGAATATATAGGAAAAAATCTTTCTCTCAAGAACAGAAAAGCCATGATTAGTCAAATTAATATGGAAGCATCGTTCAAATGATTGTTCAAATGAGCACCCCCGGGGGTAGGGTGGGGCCACAATGGGGGATCAAATTTTTACAAATGAATATATGGGAAAAAATCTTCTGCTCAAGAACAGCAAAGTTATTTGTTATATTGATATGAAAGCATTGGTAGTTTAAAATCCCCCATCCCCCCCCTCTCTCTCTCCCCCGTTAACTTTTCAATACTGAACTGATTTTTGCTTTTTTTCCTAGCCAGTGTGCTCAGGTGAGCGATGTGGCCCATGGGCCTCTTGTTGCTTTTCAAACAGTGCAGTGTGAACGATTCTAGTGAGTGTAGTGCTGTGTATTTTGACCCCGAAATGAATACGATCATTAGCGAGGTAATATGAAAATTTCATAAGCGTGGTAATATGAAAAATGCGAGTAATGGTTTTTAAATTTCCTGCATCTAATTTTTTTTTAAGCGGCGAAGATGACCATAAGTCTTCCAGTCTATTACTATACATATCTCAGATTCGTTAAATTATCCAAGAAGTACATGTAAGCCAAAGCTCGTCCCCATTGGTCAAGTTACTCCAATTGTTTACATTTGTACGTGTATCCCCTTGGATTATCAGGCTTATGAAAACATACATTTCGTTTACTTCATCTAAACGTGTCGGCCGCCGGGCTGTGTCTATATCAATCTTAACAAGCATTCTGAGAGTATTGCATTAGCAATACTAGTCCCCTACGGGCAAGTGTAATCTGGTTCCCGTTAAGAATTGAAAATGTCATAATTCCGTCAAAAACAATGAAGCGGAACGAAATGAAAACTTGATCTATAACTAATCAAAGTAAAGTCACATACCAAAAATCAGCTCAATATCTGAAAGCGTTTAGAAGAAAATTGAGGAAAACCCTGAAAAATTGAAAAGGCCATACTTCCGTCTAAAATCAATCAAGAGGAACGAAATGCAAACTTTTTCTGTCACTCATCAAGATACACTCACATACCAAAAATCAGCTCAATATCTGCAAGCATTTAGGAAAAAAAAGCGAAAAACCAAGTGGGAGAGACTGACAGACAGACAGAGGGACAGACAGACAGACGGACGGACAGATTCAGAGGAAACCTATAGTCCCCCCCGGTTTCACCGTGAGGGGACTAATAACAACAAGCATCCTGGAGTATTGCATTAGCAATACTAGTCCCCTACCGGCAAGTTTAATCTGGTTCCCGCTAAAAATTGAAAATGCCATTATTCCGTCAAAAATCAATGAAGCGGAGTGAAATAGAAACTTGATATATAACTCATCAAGGTAAAGTCACATACCAAAAATCAGCTCGATATCTGCAAGCGTTTAAATAGCGGAAAACCCTGAAAAATTGAAAAGGTCGTAATTCCGCCAAAAATCATTGAAGCGGAACGAAATGCAAACTTGATCTGTAACTCATCAAGATACACTTACATACAAAAAATCAGCTCAATATCTGCAAGCATTTAGAAAAAAAGTGCGGAAAACCAAGTAGGACAGACTGATAGACAGACAGAGGGACAGACAGACAGACAGACAGACGGACAGACAGACTCAGAGGAAACCTGTAGTCCCCTCCAATTTCACCGGTAGGAGACTAATAAAATATTAAATGGT